CTGGGTGGCAAACAAATACTTCGGAGTACCAAGTTGTTTCTGGATCGAGTCCCATAATTTAATCAAGTCAACACGACGGCAGCAACTATTTCGGAACAGAGTTTTTCAAAATTGTACAACCGAATTCAGTAATCGATCAGGAATTTTGAGTTTGGATATCGTTATGTACATTGAGAAAAATGGGTTTGTCATGATAAAACATAAAAATATCACATATGTAAATGCGTGTGTGTATTTTCACAAGTAGCCATTAATCATTCAATCATTCCATGTCAAATCACAGTGCATCCATCAATTTGTGAAATCTATTGCGTTTCACATTTTGCTGGTGCATGCTTATCTGTATGAAGAGTCGAATCAATTACACTTTCAACCAAGACCACTGACCATGTCTGTCCATACAATCCTCTACTGGTATCCTCGATGCCCTCACGGACTGTTCGGCGTTCGACTCTCCAGAAATAAGTTTCGGTAAGCAAAGTGGTCACCAAAATCGCGAAAACACGATGAAGTAAGTGGTCACGTGACACGTGCACAAAAGTAACTCCCGTCATAACAGCACGATTGGAGCACAATCTAACTAATGGTGCAGGTATACGCTCAACCAAAGGCAGACATGGTGCTTCGCGACTTCATCATTACAGGCAACAACAGAATGGTTCGTCCAACGAATGTCGGGAGGTTCAACAACCATTCGACCAATAAAATAGAAAAAGAAAATAAATACTTCTGATTAGCTGGTGATAGTCTCCCACGGCATTTAATGTGTTTCCAGTGATATTTTGCGTATGAAAATGCTCGACAATAGAGTTCGTATTTTCGTACATCATTTCGACCTGGCTCAAGACCAACCAACACATGAAATCTACAAAGTTGCTGTCGAACATAACATCCTCGCCGATGGATACGAATCTGGGCAGAGCTCTGTTCCGAAGGTCTTACGTAGGATGACTGGAAACAGAAAATGTTCGAGCTGTGAGGATGTCGCGATGAATTTCGTGACCCAACAAGCGTAGTGAACTTCATCCACGAAATGCTGCGCCGCTGGAAACAACCCGCCCAACGTGCTCAAGTCAGTCTGGCAAGATCTGGTGTAAAATGTCGCATTTAGGGTTCAGATTCAACTTGGTCGAAGTGAAATACGTGCTCAAACGTTGTAATGCACCTTTAATGATAAATTTACCCATTGCATCCGTCGATTTTTCTACTCAAACCGGTGTCGAACCAACATCATCCAAAATGGTGTGGCCTGTTCGAGCAGACAACATTGCCGTCCACATATGTTGGATGTAATATTGCATATTGTTGACAACGTCGTCTAAAATATTCTGTTTCGATTTTCAATCATTTCTATTCCCTGGACTTTGTCATAAAACGGATACAATGTAGGTTGCGTTATATCTCTAAATGTTTCATCTTACCAATTTAGCGAGTCCCAGTCATGGCCTCTCGCCACATTGTCCTAATGGCATCACGGAAGCACAAGTGGACGCTGATCATACTGGTCGTGGCTCTCTTAGCCCCGCTGTTCGCTGACGGCGCGGCCATGACGGCAAAGTCTATTCGAAAGGCGCTGGCGAAAGTGGGCAAAAAGGCGCTCAAGGCTGTCAAGTCGAGCGGATCGAAGTCGTCGGCCGAGTTTTGCTGGAAAAATTCATATGGTCGCGGAGTCGGAAAAATCCCGGAGTCGTGCAAACCAGGTCAAGATCGCATTGGACTGCTCTGCTACGACAAATGTCCTCCCAACTTTGCAAGATTCGGCTTTGATTGCCACCAAGTGTGCTCACGTGGATTTGAAGACCAAGGGTTGTTCTGCCGCAAGAAGGAATACGGTCGAGGTGGAGGATATCCTTGGAAATTTGGAGACAGAGCGTTTCGTTTGGATGGAGCTCGCGAACGTTGCGAACGGGACCACGGCCGAGGCCGTTGCGAGCAAAATGGAGCCATGATGTACCCCAAATGCAAAGAAGGGTATTATCCATTTGGTTGCTGCATGTGTCGACCCAATCGATTCGACTGCAAAGCGTTGGGTTATCAAGGCCAGTTGGATTTGAGTTGCTCGAAGCATGTCCGAGTGAGCAAGCCGCATGTTGGGGTTTGTCCTGCAGGTCAAGAAAACCAAGCTGGTCTGTGCTACAAAACGTGCACTGGCGGGTTCAAGGGCGTTGGTCCGGTGTGCTGGGGCCAACCTCCCAGCGGATGGGTCAACTGCGGGATGGGAGCTGCCGTTGACAGCTTCACATGCGCGGAGATTCTAGCCGACCAAATTTTGTCCGTGGGTCAGTTGGCGTTGAATGTTGTGTCGGGGGGCGCTTCCAGCGGTCTCAAGTCCGGGTGGAAGTTAATCAAGAGCAAAGGGTTGATCAAAAAATTACGGAAAAAGGTGGACGGCAAGCTGGGGTTTGATTTTCTCGATAAATTGGAGGCGTCCAAGGATCCGGCAGATATGGTGCGGTTGGCTGCATCCATCACAGCCATGTTAGACCCGACTGGGGCGTCCGACGTCGTTCAAGCATATGCCTACAGCACCTGCGACAAGGTTACGCAATAAGTGTCATAGATTGAATCCAGTCTTTGTACGAGCCATAGCAGTGCCTGCTGAAGGCATTTCCATCCAGAACGGGGAGGTGAAGCATCCATTCGACAAGCTCATTATACGAGCTTTATTGCTTTTGTTCTCCATGCATTCACCGGGTTGCAGTTTAGATATGCCTTCAACGCTGTACTACTTTGGTAAGCTCAATTGTTCTGCGCTCATTTGTGTGCATCACCCGGCGATTTTGCAGGGACGGACCATGTCGAGCCAACTTCACCATGAATACTTTGCGATGCCTGCGCTTTACTTCACGGTCGCTTGCTCGAGAAGCATCAAGCTTCCCTGAACCGTGGCATATCGATTCCAAGCGCGCCGATCCAAGTCATTTTTTTCAAATTTGTCAAGGTATATTTGCGTTCACAAAATTTTTAATTGTACATACATTTTCAACACCAGTGCGTCCTGGCTTTCCTGCCAACAGAGCACGAGAAAGCGGTCAATTGTATGGCAAGGACCCCTTCAAAGCTCCTTGAGAAAGCGGCTCTGCTGGCCAAAATTGGATGAAAGCCATTATATCGGTCAAAGCCAAGTGCTTGGCCATAATATATTCGTCGAGAGTAAGTGAGTAGGTAGTTCAATTTAATCCATTCTACTATGAATACGACTGCATGTTTCGACCAATTGTCCACACTGGCAATAGTTGCACAAAACCGCCAAGAAGCGCATCAGCGATGGGGACCACGGCCTCGCTGAATCCGACGACGTCCGCCGTGGACATTGCCGGAAGAGCTGCGCTTGTCTACTTAGCGATCCAGATCCTTAAGACGCTGTGGGCATGGAGTGACTCGTCCAACTCGTGTGCGCGAGGTCAAAAGCACAACTTCGACCCACAAGCGTACGCCGGCCATCAACAGTATCGGTTCAGTGCCGATCGCACGCTGTGGCTGCGGACGCGCACGTGGTTGCCTTCATCGACAACGCCCTGGAAGGGTGTGATTTTCATCGTGCATGGGTATAACGAGCACATTGCGCGGTACCATTATGTCGGGGCAGCGTTGGCGCACGAGGGCTTTGCGGTTTTCGGCATGGACCATCGCGTAAGATTCCATGATGTTCCCCGTTGCAATCGTTCTTAATCCACGAGTAGGGGCATGGCCTCAGCGAAGGCGACCGCCTGTACGTAGAACGCTTTGAGCAGTATGTGGAAGACTACGCTGCGTTTGTACGAGACACATTGACAGTTGACAGCGAATCGCCGTTCGTGAAGGATTCGCGGCTCAACTTTCCTGCGAATGTGTCTTTATCGTCGTTGCCACGCTACATGCTGTCGCACTCGATGGGCGGGCTCATTGCTTTGCAACTTATCCATGTAAGGACTCCATACAATGACTCGATAACTTTGTCACCACCACGTCGGTAGAATCACCCGGACATCGAGTGGACTGGCGCCATCATGTCGTCGGGAGCGTTCCAGATCGACCCCAAAGCCATTTCCCCTACGGCCCAAGTCGCCGCGTCCATCATCGGGGCCGTCTTTCCCAAGTTCCGACCTCCGAACCCCGAGCTTGAGAATATCGTGAAGGATCCGCGGGAGCACGAGCGCGCGTTGAGAGATTCGTTGAACTACAAGACAGGTGACGTTTGGTTATTTTCGTTGGTCCAATATTTGTGTCATTCCATTTTCTTTTCGTGGGATTTTGTCTCTGTATATTTCGAAAGTATCATTCTTGCTCGAAAGACCATTTTCGGCGAATAGGATCCTCCTAGTCCTGGATTTTTGCTCATTTTACGAGTAGATTTCTGAAATTGATACTTGACACGCTTTAATTAGGTCCGACGGCACGATGGGTCGCAGAGTTTATCAAGGCAATCGCCCAAGCTCCCGCGATCATGCCGATGATTCACACCCCGCTGTTGATCTTCCATGGGGAACTAGACACCGCAACACCACTAGAAGGAAGCAAGGCGCTGTATGCGGCGGCAGGAAGCAAGATCAAGGAGCTCCACATTCTGCCAAAAATGTATCACGAGCTCGTCCACGACACGTGTCGTGACGAAATGCTGGACACGATGGTCAAGTGGTGTGCTAGTGTTTCGAAACATGCACAACGTTGAGAGCAAGAAGTTTTGATGCAGTTACGTTGATTTCCGCTCTGACTTCAAGTAGTTGTCTCGAATATACGAGCAAGTGGGCACTACTTGCAAAGAGTTTGCTTTGGCAAAGTTAAACGCTTCGTCGCACAGTAGCTTTGCAATGCCTTGACCACGCCCTGCAGGATCCACAAATGTTCGCCTCATGTCAATCTGGGAGCCCTGCAGAGAAGACTTGATGAGGCGTAGTTTGCGAAAATGCAACAAGTGTACCTCAATCTTGTACTCCAGAAACCCAAGAAGCGCCGTTGGTGTTCCTTGAGAAGTCTCTCCCTCGCATGTGAACTGACTCTGCGCAGGAATGTGCCGCACGCGCTTTGTCGGCGCCACCGCGGTCGTCGAGAACCGTAACAGGCGTTGCATCCCCATCGCTAGAATCCCAATGCATCGTCAACTTGAACTTGGGGTCTTTTTCGGATAAATATCCGGGCACTTTCGGACACTAT